GAAGTCAGCTTCGACGTTGTCAGACTACCTCAATTGGACATCAGCGATCGAATGCTTCTCGCTTGACAGAGAGTTCGGCAGGACAACCTGAGTTAGTAACAGCGCAAGACTCCACTGACTTGCACTCAAGCTGATTACCGAGCTCGACGAACAGACCAACAGACACCTGATCAAGCGCCAGTAAAGGCACCTGAATAATCAATATTACAGGTAGGATATCCAATCATACGTGTTCGTGATGAAGAACAGAGTGTGAAAACAGAGTCGGGTGTTGAAGGCAACGGCTCTATGTACCACAATGTAGGTAGACTGATAAGTAAAGATCCAGCTGGGCAGTTTCAATAACTGATGCACCTCTACCTGGGATTCCTGAGACGGCAAGCGCCAACTTGGTCTGTTGGTTATGTATGGGCTCCGCGAGCAGATGGTTTCCTCACATCCACGATATGAGCAGCTCGAGGGAATCAGTACAACTACGATGTGCAGGCTCTCCACACGAACACCCCAAGGTGCTCAACAGTATTACAGATCTGATGATTCGGACGAATCGATGAGATAGGCAACGTCTCCGATATCATATGAGACAAGCCTCGAGAGCACAATACAATGACAGGTGTGACGAAGCCAGAACAAGTACACCATCAAAGAAGTAAATACATAAAAGTATCCAGCGAACAGCACGCATGGAACAAAACCCGGGTTGCAGTGAAGAGAGAGAAAAGAGGAGACCGACCTAACAACTTTGGTCTTTGAGTGTATAAATAGCTTGGTGGTTAAGGCATGATATGAATGCCCCGAAGGTCCGGGTCCCAACCTCAGGGATCCCGACTGCTCCTGTCTATGCTCGTTCAGTCTGGTAGTAGCAAAACCCACGCGCTTCCTTCGGGTGACATGGTTGCTAGGGGCCGAGAGGTTAGAGACGGGTTTTGCGTGTCGATACCCCGTTTCCAAAGTTGAACGTTTCGTTCAGCAGTGCGTGAACTCACCCAGTTGTGTTGCATGGTCGACTCTAGTTCAGTCGGCTTCGTTCAGAAGCGGAGGTAGCTCGGCATCGCCCCAGTTGCTTGGGCGACCAAGGAACACATCTGCAACATTTGTGAGGTGTATGGCTTAATGTTTGTCTACGCTGTATGGACTTTCTCTAGGAGGGTGGAATCATGCTAAGTGGTAAAGTGCATTTGGGAGGTACGAATAAAAAGGACGATCGATTGCAGGGTATTTTTGACATCATCATCATCGACAGCATGTTCAACACAACTGCTTCATCACCACCAGACGTTCACTAACGGATATGTAAGCGTTACTAGTCAAAAGACAGGACATACCCGTTGCTCCAGTAGTTGCAGTTGAGATTGGGTTTTGAGCAACTGCGCGTGGCAGTCATAGAGATCATTGGCCAAAATCCAATTGAGCTTATCCACTCCGGGAATCAGAGGAGGTAGACGCACCTCCCCCGACTCTGACTGAGCGCGTTCCTCGGCAGACCGAATAAGCTGCTGAAGGGCGTCCTGACGTCGCTTCGTAGATGCTGCCGTTGCTGTCCCCTTCAAGGCGGATCTGGGCCCCGGGGAATCGGACAGTCCACTTCGGTCCACATCGGTGACAGGCGAAGTGGTTCCAACCGTCTGCGGGAAAGCGTCCACCGACTGTTCGGTCTCTCTCAGCGATGCGTCTGGCCCAACAGCCGAAAGATCGGTAACTTCATCATCACTGAGTGGGGTCTCGGAATGTCGAAATGCGTTTTGCGCTTCGGACAACATTTTGTGCAATGCTTCCAAAGAATCGTCGCGTGGAAGCTAGTCACGAAAGGAAATGAGTGGGTTACAAAACAGCTGTCTGGAAGAACACAATGGGAAGGGAGTGTGGAATTTGATATGAAATCGGAATACTGGCAAAAAACGGGTTTATGGTTATTCGGCCGAAATAGAGTACACACAAAACGTATCGAGACTGTTTATGTCATTCAGAGACCAGTGGAGAGTGTGGCTTTTATCATTAGAAGTCACGCAGGGTGTGCCTTTGGCCTCCTGCAACCTTAGTTGATGGTACCGTATAGTTTCTGCCGCCCAATATTCTCGTTTTGCAAGAAGGTGGGAGTACAGTCAGGGAGAGGCCAGATGAAATGGCTCAGAGAAAGCAGGAAGAGACAAACAGATCAGTTCCACACAGAGCGACTGCAGAAATACAGGTGAGTAAACTATTGAAAGTTTGTGGAGGGGAAACAGATGAGGTAAGTTCTTACCGGACCTATGCATTATTGTTGTGAACTGCGAGAAAAAGCGCGGTTCAAGGAGCATATAGATCGGTCAGCCGATCAATCGAGAAGCAGATCATTCTTAGGTGTACGTCAAACATCGTTAGTTTGGCGAGAGGCACAGTCCAATATGTTGGTTCTGTTTCACTGATCGGAAGGTCCGTGGTTCGAACCCGATCGCCGCCTTTCGACTTCCCATGTCTAGGCTTAGGCAACCTGGCAGTATCCCAGCCCTCATGCAACCTTCGGGTGGCATGGCAGTTAGGCTTCGAAAGGGTGCTACACCTAAACTTGTCCAAGGCTGTGAGGCATGAAAAACGCGTCAACATAGTTCCTTGAAGCGACTGCTTCTGGACATACACTGGTGATTATTGAGTAGGTCACGCATCAAATGTTTGGCTCACAGAGATATAAAGACTTTGGACAAAATGTGATAGATAGAAATCGGAAAGTAAGCGTTAGGGTTGAGGCAGGGAGTAGGGAGGAAATACGTACACTTCCAGCAAGATGGAAAAATACCCACAGAACGGGATAGATTGAACGGGCGAGTTCCGTACATTTCCTGCAAGAATAAGGAGAATATCATAACAAGAGAGGAAGGGGCGGGGTTCGGCAGATCGTGAGAGAGAAAGAGGGAGATGGCGCGGAAATGTTGGAGTTCTGACCGAATCTATTTTTCCTTTTTCGAAAGGATGTGGGGACAGCACAGACATCAGAAATGGAATGAAACAAGACGTAGCAAAAATGACGATCGGCAGTTTTAGTTCGGTTCCAGAACAAATGACCCCCAATCAGATTTTCGACTGTACACTGGGCTCTTAAGACGGGTACTTTGCAGAGGTTGCGGACAAACACCTAGTTAGAGTCGACGCTCGGGTACAACAGGAGAAGAATAAGGGGTAAACTGGAGGTACATGCCACTCATGATGTGTTCAAAAAAACCCTTCGCCAAATGTTGGCGAACCACTGAAAGGGCGAAATTCCCAGGGGTGTGACGAAAAAACAGATGCAGGCCGTACCCGTAGTGCATAAATAGAGTATTCGCAGAAAGCACAACGTGAGAACGGAGAGGAATGTGAACAAAGTGAGGTGGAAACGTCGGGTCAGACAGAGGTGGACAACTCCAGGTGGGCGGAAAAAGACGCAACGGGGTTGTTAATGAAAAAGATGTTGGCGTCACGGTGCAGGACACAAGAAGGAAAACCTAAAATTTGAGGTGGACAACTCCAGGTGGGCGGAAAAAGATGCCACGGGGTTGTTAATGAAAAAGATGTCGGCGTCACGGTGCAGGACACAAGGCGGGAAACCCAAAATTTGAGAAAATTTGCGGAAGAAGATGGAAAACCACTCGGATTCACAGCTGGCCGGATCAGTGGCGGTTGAATACCGACGTCAGCAAGAGTTGTGAATCGGAGAATGTAAAGCCTAGAATTGCAGTCGGACCGGAGACTATCTCGAGAATCGACGGCGATAAGTATGACAAAGGTAAAAAATGACCTCAACTAAAAGGAACTGAAAACTGGGTATGAACGAACCGAAAGAGGGCAACTGGGTAACAGAGAATGAAGAGTGAGCATCAGTCCAAATCCAATTCATAAGAATAAGCTAGGAACCAGGGGAAAACAAAGTCACTCGTTTCAAAGATTTTCATCTGGGTGATTGAGTGAACATTGTCGTTGACGTCACGTATGCTGCAGAATGCGACCGAGAACCCAAAGCGAATCCTCGTCGCACGCTAAACCACAAGCCCAGCGAATCATTCAAGACTTCTACAGGTTGGAAGACAGTACCTGCGGCTTGGCTACCTGCACCTTTCGATAAAAAGTTTCAGATGTCATATCATTTATATCACCCAGCTTGTTAAGCGCGAATTTTCGGACGAGAATAGAGATAAACAGGCCGTATGTCGAACATCAGCAGCAAGAACTCGAGCGCCGATTTCAACGTATTTCACGACGGATGATCCAACCAGCTGCGGTCGACACATGGCGGTATACGCAGAGTGCCAGCTGACAGGGCTCAATCCAAGTCCCATGCCTTAGAGCGACATGCGCCCATAATGAATTCAACAGCACTGTGTTGACCAACCACCCAATGTGCTGTTTACCCTGTTTACCAAGGCATCAGATCAAAACAACAGTCACATTTGTAGGCATGTTATGTGTGATTAGTGAGGCGGACTTTGTGCTAGCCCCGCTGAGACAGCTGGCTAGTCATTCAGTCACACACACTGACCTCCACGCAAATGTATTTGGCTCACGTGTCGCGTCAAAGTACGAACGAGCCACTCTCCTCAAGCCGGAGATATATAAGGCGGCTGATTCCATGAAGCGCCTATCACGTTTTCCAAAGACTGGGAGCCGGCGTTCTCATAATCTGTTCGCCAGAGGAAAACTGTAACCGGTCATCATCATCGACAGCATGACATCAGTGTTCAACACCGATGCTCCACTGCCGTACAACCATGATTCAGTTGAAAGCCTTATTGTGAAGAAAATAATAAAGGTGGACGGGGAAGGGACTGAGTACTAGCTTAACACAACCATTCCGAGGTGCCTACACCTCCAGACATTCACTCAGGTGATCTGGATAGAAACTGACAACAAGAACGCCACTGACATCGGTTTGAAGCCATATCTTGTAGTGTCTCGAACCAGGCACAGTGAGGATCACGCGGTCCCCATCCTGGAAGGCGAGTAGCACCGACAGCACCCAAGCGTTTCGTGATCTCCTTCATACTCCTCTGCCAAGTCAAGGACTGGCCACCTCTTTGTTTAAGCCACTGCAACTGGTACGAAGGAGCAATTCAGGACGCACGAATGAAAGGGACCACTCGGGTGTTTGGAACAAACAAGGGTATGGTCAGAAGGAAATAACTCTATGAACAAGTCTGACAATACCAATATGGATGCATACGGAGAGGAGAAACTGCAGTGGCCACCCGAGAAAGCCACCAACTCCTTGGAAAGGCTACAAGTGTCCTCTTCATTATAATGTTTTCTTTTCAGGAGGACTACTTGACTATGCAACAAGTCAGTATCGATTACGTGCACAAATGATGCTTGCTCTCGCTCGTATCTTATTCGCGTGTACAACAGAATCTTCAACAGGTACGTCCACCCATGCGCATAATCAACCGAATCACAGCTGACTCCTCTCCTGAACGCACCAGCCTCATTGGGAACTGCACTGCCAGCTGAAGCTCCACAAGTCCGTCGGTTTTGAGGCCAGTAAAAAACCTCCGTCCACGGAAACAAAATGAGTCGATTTCCTACCTCTAGGGGACGGGTGAAAGCATGAAAGGATTTGTTGTACGCAGAACGTCCCAAGACACTCCAAGCCCACTCCGACATCACTACAATACAAGTGGTGCCAAAATGGTTTGAAAAACTTATGAAAAAGTAGGTTTCTAAAAGTAGACTAAAAGAAAGGCAAAACACTCTATTCAGTCTGAACTGCTGCAAAAAACAACCGAATGCTTACCTTAGCAGCCACACGCACGTCACCGACAGCAATCTACGGATTTGACTAAGTATAGTTAAGTTAAACCCTCAGTTGCATCACTTTCAACCAACTGGGTGAGTTGCAGCAGATTATTAGGTCGTGTGAAGCTGGTGTTGCGCAAAAAAACTGATCAAAAACAAGTGAACTAAAGATCACGTGACTGTCGCCGACGCCACACACGATTGATTGGCTGGCTGTGATCGATCAAATGCAGAGCGGTGATTGGTCGCTCAAGGTTACCTCAGTGTTCGCGCATGGAAAACAAAGCGGTGTCAATGACGTCGGATAGTTGTAGGTATCAGAGCAGAAGAGAACAGGGGCGTTAGTGCCGCGTGCAACACTTGTATTGTGGGTGCATTTGCAATCGGTAGTATGACGCGGGGTGATTCACGTTGATGAGTTGTTTGGACGTAACTCTACCGATTAAGTTCGTTTATTGTTCACAGGTGTCGCTAGTCTACCAGTGAGATAAGAATTATGAATTAGCTCGAGAGCCCACGAACAGGGTGAAGCAAGCGATAATGAGAGCCTTCGACAGAGAGAAGATTGATCCAGAAAGCGTGCACATATACAAGTCCTTGTTAGATCAATCTTACTGTATCGAGGCGCAAGCACCATTCAATGGTACTAAGTAAGCCAGCGGGTCGGGGGGGGGCAGCTCAAAAATGTTGGAACATAACCTAACCGGGATGGTACTCAACCAGAAACGCTATCTAAATCGTGATTACAGAGTGAAGAACCGGGAAAAACAGCATTCTGTTGAGGGAGCAACAATTCTCGATCGTTGGAGAGAAGTGATTAAGAGTTGGCAATATCCTGAGCAGAGATGCTGGCAGATCATAAAAGCCTACTCACTCCGCCAAGTTATCCACCGTTATTCAAGTTCAACTTGCTGACAGAGAGGGGAAAAGTGGTTCCCACAAATACCAGTCTCAGTCGTCGAAATGAAAAATATCAAATATGAAAAAAGGCTGGTTCAGACGAAGTAAAGAAATTTTAAGCAGGAGAATGTGTTCAAAGGTGAGGTCGCTCAGTGGT